CGTATGATAAATATTCTTGGATAATCTTCTCGATAATACAGACATTCGAAAACAACTAGACACCGCCTATGTTAATAATATTCGGGCACATAACGCAAGGGTCGAAAAAAATCGCCATATATTGAAAGAAGCAACAGTTTTTAAAAGAACGTCTAAAACTGTCCAAAATGAACTTTTAGATGCCCTCAATGTAAAATTTTGACCGAAGGCAAAAAGGTATGTGGACAAATACTTTTTTACTTTTATTGAATGCATTTTTGTATTTATTTCCGTCACACAATTTCGTCTATTAATTGGTGATATCAACCTGTTTTATATCTTCATATTTAACTCATCAATCAAATTGTGTCCCCCCATTTCAAAAGGTCACAAGCCGCGACTGATATCTATACATAGATTTTTTGGTAAATCTTCATACAATTAATGCCGCTAATTACAGTGAATTATTGTGCGAAGAGATTAAGCCGATATTTTGATCAAAAATTTCCGGTTAAATTTGAAAGGTCCTCGTATAATACTTCAATGGTCTCAAATTTATAGGGTAGTAAGGTTAGTAGCGAACCCGTTTTTTGGGGGAGAAGTATGATATAAATCTAATGCCAGATGTTTCGTATTTTTTGTTAATGTTGCAATACGATCATGTTGCAAATTTGTAGAGATATTAACCGTTGTGCAAAAAAATACACACAAGACAATGCATTATCCAAAAGCCCTTCGTATAATAAGATTGCATGAAGCGTAAATATTACTTAAGAGGAAAAGAAACCGTCACGTTATGATATTTGTTTCGTGCCCTTTATACAGGGTGTTATTGAAAGGTACGTACAACAAAATGGACAGTTCTTCGCAAAGTCTAAGAAGTCGGAAAACTTATTTTTGTGTTATCAAAATTATCAGGGGAAAATTAATTTATTTTAGTAAATCCTAGTAACTGTAACAATAAAACTTTCGTCAAGACTAAATGTTGCTATAGAAACGAAAGATAATCTTTTTATCAGAGGCGTACAACGAATTTGGACATAAATTTCTATAATTTTTTTCATCTCTAAAAGGAGAACACTTTTATCTGAACTTCTTTTAACTTTTAGCACCCATACTTCGAGACCAATTGCCGATTTTATTTTGTACGTACCTTTCAATAACAGGCTGTATTAACATTTACAGCAGCCAGTTTACATAGATACTTTATATTAGGACTCTGAAGTGTCCCTGCAGCTACATTTATAACAGTGTCTTTTTTAATAGTTTTTGGAATGAGAATATATATTTACACACAAAATATGCACCGCCTACAGAAATGGCGGCTTTCAAATCTTTTCATAACAAGTTCTGGAAACACGCTCCCTTACGAACTTTTTTTTCTACTAACCAATTTCTGAAAAATCAGATGGGAAGTATTTTTTCCAACATTTACATGCAAACGTAATCAGAGTTGAAAATATTATTTTCGGAAATGGTTGCCGTGTATTTACAAGAAGTTGTCATTTACTAAGAAAATGGCAACAAGGAGACGTGATCACGGCAAGTGTTGCAGAAGAGAATCTGACCAAGATTCACAAAAACAACAAATGTAAAAATTTGGTACTAACGTTTTTATGTGGTCTGTTGTAACAGAAACGAGACGTACTGAAAATTTTGAGATTAACAAATGAGAGTTACAGTAGCTCGTAAAATTCCATCTGTTCTAAAATATTTCAAGAAAAGATTAAATTTAGCAGCACCGCAGCTCGTCAAATTTTTATTGAATAACCTTTAGTTACTTTTAATTGTTCAATCTCCTACAGTATTTAGATACATTGGCAATACTCCTTACATTTTTAGTAAAGTAGACTGTAGACTGCCTGCAATTGGTCAGTTTCAATTAATCCCAGGCATTTGACTGGTCAAACTTATTTCCGTTGAATTGTCATTTATATGCAACAATTCATGTTTTACGTTTTCATGATGTCTCAGTTAAAAAAAAACTACTTTAAAAAAAAAAAATTGTACGAAAATTACGATTCTACGTATTCTTACTACACTGCTCTTAAAACTCAAAGAACTGCTGTTGCAATTTGTTAAATGAAAACTCAAAATAGGGACACCCAGTACATACTTACCAAGAATTTACTCCGGCAAAATAAAAATACAATTAACTATACATACAATTTTGACGTCATAACACTTTGGGGTCTCATTCTGCAACACCTTAACTTTGTTAGCTCGAAGGAAAAACATATTTACACATTACATTGTCTGTATCCATTATTTGTTTATTTATTTCCCCCCCCCTTCCTTCTCGCCTTTTTAAAATGTATAACCTCTTTTAGAAGATTTTGAAATGGGAAATTTATAAATTATTAATAATACATATATAAAAGAATATTAATGCTTTGTTCTAACAACAAAAATTATTACGACAGCTATATACTGAAAAAAGTTATACATACTTTTGAAAGAATTAATACCTAGTGATAATAATTTCAATCGTACAACAAAACTTAATTTAAAAAATTCTGGTTGTCGTAGGTACATGTTTTAAATCTGACTTTATTTTATTTCATCATACTTACAAGTGAAAGTATTTACAATATTAATTTATTCAAGAAATTTCTTATTTTGTTATTGTTCGTATTTTGTCTTTGTATTGTTTTCTTTATTATTTTCTATTTTTTTTGTCAGTTAATTTGTTTTTAAATTCGCATATAATATGTATGATATTGTATTCCTCTTGCATGACGAAATATGAACACACTTTCGTATTTAAAACTAAATAAATAATGATAACCCTACGTTACTCAGATTTAGAGCTTTTAAATTAAAAGCTTTAACTTGACATAAAAATGTATACATAGTTGCCAAGCAAATGAACGTTCATTTTCCAACCCTACAAGCGTTTTTATTTAATTCAAAAAATGTATAGATACTTATATACATATAAGCATAGACAACATACAATTTAAAGAAATGATGACATAACCACTTACAGAAGGCGTTAGTTGACATGGCGCAGTTGATAGACTAATTTCACACTCGTATGTACATAAAATTGTGAATCATATGGAAATATGGCAAGGAAAATTAAATGAAGAATATTTGCTAACAAAAAAATCAAACGCAATAAAAAATACGTTTTTGGGCTTCCATGCTTTCAATACTTGTTTCCAAGTAGTCTCGATCGTCCAGAAACAAAATCAAACTGCTAGAAAATAACACTGACAAATCATAAGTCTCCCTTTAAAGGAATGACCGAACTCTCGATTTTTACTGTCACTCTGTTATGTCAAGATTATAAAGTTGTTTAATTTTTAATAAGTGTAATACGTTTACGCGGCACAAAAAATAGTGAGCATCACTCTGTCAAAAACTGCTTCTGCGAACTTTCTTTTTAATCTCGCTAACGCTCGGCCTGGCAAACTCGCTCGCATTCGCAAAAGCTTAGTTTCTGCCCTAGTAATGCGAATAACTGTCGCCTGATGCAACCAAAAACAAATCAGGGCTCATGTAACTTCAGAAGTTTTAAGCACTCATAAATACGAAAATTAAAAATTTTCCTTGCATAAAATGTATATTATAAAATTAACTTTTGGTGAAGTTGTGAAATTTTATAATTGAATATTGTCACGGTAATTTTAACAACAGTTGCAGAAAATTTTCAAAGACCTCATCCTGAAGTACCCATTAATTTCATTTCTTTTATACTTAAAAAAAAGTTACGTCCGCAACTATATTATTACGACTGTAAAAAATATACATATATGTACTTGTGATTAAACCCAATGGTATCTAACAATTATAAAAAGTTGTGAAGCTTAGCATAAATCATAATTCATAATATTACTGAACATACATTAAAAAAAAAAATTAATATTCTTTGTACTGAACTATTATAAATTACTTTTTTCTTTGCAAAATTAGAGTATTTCGTGGTCAATAGATAACTCTTTCATTAAGTTTAACACGTTTGCTAGAAAGTTCCTACAATACACCATTTTTATTGTAAAATAACAATTGGTTAATCACTGCAATTTAAAGGCTTTTGATAAAAAATTTACCACGGTTACCAAAATTGTCTGATCTGGTTTTGCACACACTTGAACAAAACCGTGTCTTTTGAGAAACACAAAAAACATGTTTTTGTCTGGATATAGTTCACTGTTTCTCTATATATTGTTATATCTTACCGACTAGAAGAATTTTAAATAAACCAGACTGTTTCTACTTGATTTCCGATTGTTCACTTTTGGTTTTCAATAACTATTAACTCAGTTTTATCAACATAATGATGTCACTGGTTTTTTTTGCAGAGATCGACACTTTAAAATTTTGAGCAATAGGTTAACTGCGTATGATAGTAAGTTCCATTTTACATGAAAAGCCAAAAAATTCTTTCGAATGAAAAGAAAGCAATAAGATGTAAAATCTACGTGTCACAGCAGATTATCGTACCGTGGTTTTCTGCTACAACACTTTTATCCCACATAAAAAATTAAATCAAAGCCGTCTGTGATCCACAAAATCGTAAATGGTTGAAAATCTTTAATCTAGTTTAAGAACAATGTGCGATGTTGACTTCTCCTTAATTAGAGATCAATGTGTCAACTTAACAAAATGTCTCATATTGCTACGATAAATAAACGAATGAGTTAACATTAATCGGCAATACGAGGGGCGAATAAGACATTTTCAATATTTGTTATTGTTTAAAAGAGCAAAATATTCTCGTTGTCTTTGCGAGACTGATATTTAATTTAAACGAAAACAAAAATTACTAAATAAATATCGCTGCGCAAAATCGCAGAAAGTTCCTGCTTGCCAAGCAGGAAAAGCAGTCGCGTAAGCGGATACCGCGCCGTCTTATTTCAGTCTGGCAGTTACTGCTATAATAATTAATAGACATAGTTTGCTCGTTGCCGTCAATCATTTGGATTAAATTTGTAACTGATTTTAGATGTGGTCCCTCGTCTAACAAAGGTGGGATGTACTTGAAGAGACACAAAGTTTGAAGTAAAGGCACTCACATAAGAAATCCAGACGAGGTAGGAGTTTCGCAGCAGCACCGGCTCCAGCAAAATCACCAGCCAACAAAGAAAATGAAGCACGCAATCCTTAGCTGTCAATCCAAAGTTAGACGAAAATTACCCGGAAAAAAACACCAACAGTGCCTGAACGTAAAATTCAAACGGAAAAAATAAAGAAACCCAAGCGTCGTGAATGATGAAGTTTCAACTCCCGGCGCCTGTGTCCTTACGTCGGTGGTGGGACGCACTACTTTTTTTTGTTTTCACTGAAAGCGATCCTGACACCTTGCAAAGACGTGTCTTGGCATGAACAGCACGCAAACTTACTAGGTAGGAGACTGTTTGTAACTTTATTTGACGATACAATATTTGGTAATTTTTCCGATGACGTAGTGTACAGTATACAGTGTGTTTAGTGTATATGTGCGTCTCTCGAAACTGACACACAGACTGGTTCTGAGAAAGCGTCGCGGGCAAGCTAAGCGGTCAGGCGATAGCGAGGGACTGCTCGGCCGCCGGTTGCGACATGAGCGTCGCGTTTTCGCGTTCGCTGCAGCGCAGGCGTGCACCGGGGGAGGACGACGGGGACCGAGTTGCGCAATTCCCGCAACCCCCCGAATTCGACGTACCACCGCGACTAATTACGAGAGCCCTGCCGGACGCCCGCCGCCGCCGCCACGAAATCCACTAGACACGGAATTTTTCCTGACGCACACGCACGACGCGACAATGAGATTTCCCGATTACGACGACGCCCATGGACGCGCACTCGTCTAAAGGGTCATTCTCACCGCGGAAAAATTACTTCCTCATCGTTGACATTCACTAATTTTCGATCTATTAAATGAATGCGCTAGATCTCAATATTATGCAGCGACATAATGTTAATGCATGTTATGTATTAATTAACACAGTAACGAGCTTCGTTCACCCCAGTATACCACTACGGTGGCAATCTACATAAACTAATTAGAATTGTGAAATGAAAAGGGTGAAATAAGAATCGTGTTCATTCTTTGTTAAACAGCTGAACGTTCTAATTATCCAATGTTATAAATATAAGTTAACAATACATTTTTTAGTTCTGTGACCGTGAGCTAGACTTGGAATCAACTAGAAATCAGAGTGCTGTACCAACGAAAGACGGAATCACCGCCCAAAACACCACCAGCATAGAAGCGTCATGGAAGTCAGGAAAACAGGAATATTTTTGAACAAAAGCAGAACAACCTAAAAATCATACAAATATTATAACATAACGTTGTGAATAATTTCATCAAATTTGATAGTTTCGTAAATAAGGTAATTTTTTATACAAACGGAAATACAATATAACCGCATGATCAAAGTGAAATATAATAACACCACTAAAAATGTTGACTGCTCAGTGACAAAGACTGCCAATTTAGTGTAAACACCAGAAACCAGTACCATACAACGACCACGAGAATTATTTTGGAACTTAAAAATTCCCATCCAGAAAATATTGTATAAGTCGCTGGATGTGACATGAGATACTTAAGTTGGGGAGCAGTTGCTCTGCCTGAGCATTCGAAATCATAAACTGATAAAAAAAAAATCGTAACCATATGATTTTTTTCTTATACTATACATTAAAACTGTTTAGTCGAGACACCAGACGTGTTATATTACATAGAAACATAGGTAAAGAAAGATAACATCATGCAAATTGAATTTACTGCTATAACATATTCAGGCAGTGTTGTGAGAAGGAATATCTCCATGTCAGTGTTATTACACAGAGAAGTCAGCAAAAAGAAAAAAATTCGGAGTAAACTTGACAAACTGATTAAATAGAATGTTGTGGAGATAAATACAAGAGTTAAAAAGTGCAACTGTCGTAGCATATCATTCAAATTCAAATCAAGAAACAGAATTGTGTTTCGTAATTCTCACTTACAATTCGCTTACGGTTACTTTAATGTTTGCTTATTTGATTAAAATAAATCAACGCAGGAAAAAATTGAAATAAACGTAAGAAATAATGTCAGCAAATGAACAAATAATCATTACTAAAGAAAAACTGAAAGATCTTTTCCGGTGGTCTTGCAAATTATGAGCTGCGAGTTCCGTACAACAAAAAAATAAGCACAAAATATAAACACCTACTTCATCGGTGAGTAGTATTAGAATACAGGGTATGAAAGAATTAATACATTGTTTTAAATTGTACTTGAAACAGTTTCTAGATACAACATGACTTAGTAATACTCCCGCAACATGCATTTTGGTGAGTGAAAGTGAGTTAAAATCAGTTACTAATGAAGTGTGCAATCAAATCACCTGGTACTGATGGTATACGGTTCAATCGTCAGATACAGTGACGATATTTCATGCTCCCAAGTATATTTAGTAAATTTACAAATATAAATTATACCATACTTTTCCTACATGTTCAAGTGCAATTAAAAGTACACACTGTTTAAAAAAAGAAAAAAAGGACTTATTTCCATAGAAAATTACCGACGTATTTTCCTCCTAAGGACGTTTTCTAACATCATCAAGAAAATTGTAAGCGAATTTTGTATATCACTGAACAGAAAAGAAATTCTTTTCGCCTTTCCAACAGAACGACAGATCAGATAGATCAACACTCAATGTTTAATTTCGCAAATTTTATTAAACAGATATAGTTTTAACATTGTAACGACCATGTTTATCTTTCATCTTAAGCATTTTACATAAGAACAAAAGGTTACATAATTAAAAGGAATATTTCCTTTCGTCGAAAACACATCAGACATAGGATATCTCTTCAAACAGAATTATCCACAAAGAAGAGCTACGAATCTTAATTACCAAGAGTTACCATAATCTATTCACAATCTTTCACTCAGAAAGTATTTCGATGTTCTGTCCAGTCTTAATCATGTCATAATGTAATAGAAATATTATAATCAAAATAGTAACTAAATAAATTGTACAGGGTTAGATATGTCAACCCTAATGTAGTATCTTACATTAAAATGATTTGAACGTAATATCTAAACTCTACCTTACACTTCACAAAAAACACTCTTTGGCTGTAATGTCTGTGTGGTATATAAATTCAACAGTTTTTCCGTCACTACAGTAGTACATTTCATATAGTTAAGAATTTTAAACAAGTAAATTCGAAAAATAAAGATATATTATGTTTACATATTGTGGATAAGTCGATTGGAAGTGAAAATTTTCCAGTGCTGAAAATTGCTGTTAAAACGTTGGTGAGCACAAAATTTAGTCTCAAGTCTTTTGCTCGGATCAGAAAAAGAGAACGAAAACAGTTCCTTTTAATACCGCGACAAAGATGGGAAACTGCATGTCGATATGAGAGGGTCGTACGCCTTTCTCGGTTCAGCGCTGACGAAATATGTAACTTCTAAAGTTTCATCTTTTTTAATATCCCAAATTTAAAGCGGATTAAAGCTATGACAGTAATGGATTTAAGTAAAGACATAAGAAAGAAAAAAGGGATAAATTTTATATATTTTTTTAATTGGCTTTGCGGTGCAAAATTGCAGACGCTCAAACCACTTCCTACGCTTTCCCACTCGGCAGTTAATTTATTAAATTTGTTTTTAGTCGTTCCGTCGGAAATCCACGAAAATGTTGCCAAACGTAAGAAATCTGAAAGAAATGTAGTTGCCGATTCCACGATTCATAAACATACTTTTGCGATACATTTGAAAAAACGAGTATACCTACCAACTAGGCTAGTAAATACTATTTCATTTTCAATTTGTGTAAGCAGTGCGAGATAATACTAGGCGTAAAGTGACAATTTTACACTGACTACGCAGGCTACAAAAAAGTTCTAGAAATTCCTAACATGTAGTAAATGACTTATTTAAAACAAGTCAAAGGATTGAGTAATTACTGCGACTTTTAGGAATACCTTCTTCCAGGGACTACTTTTTATGGCTGTTTTATTGTTTTTAATACCACACCTTACAACAAAGCTGATCAAAACTGGCATCGGTGTAAGGTATGTAGGAGTAACTGCGCATGCATAGTTAAGGATGCAACGAAAATCTTCCGCAGTTTTTACATTTTGATGTTTTTATGTTTTATAGATAGGACTTTATTTTATTTAAAGCTAACGATGGATATTATAACATTATATAAACAAGTTTCCGTGTAAATCTTGGTGAAAAGTTAAATAATAGATGAAATGAACACCCTACGCTCGACACTTCATTGTAATATTCACTATTTGAAAGTTTGCGCAATACCGTTTTTGGCAAAAGTACAAAGGTTTATTAAGTCGATTTTTACGAAAAAATGACTTACACTTTTGTCTAAAATTAATAAAAAAAATTAGTATTTATTGTGTTTGAAAAATGGGTTGCTTATATAACTTCGATCAACGTAGTGGTGAAAGAGCAAACCTGAACAAAAAAAGATTCTTAGAGAGAGTAGAATGTACCTAGATATATATGTACATTTTTAAAAAATCTGTATTTTCAACTATATCGCCGAATTTATTTACATTGTATTTTGGCTAGGTATAGAACAGAAAGCTATTCATCGAAGACATACTTATCTAAATACTTCAATAAACTTGGTATCTGCATTCTGCAGCATAAGATCAAAAACTACCACTACCTCTAATAGAAGCGTTTGTATCGACAATTAAATTTAGTTGCGGCATTTAAAACCTAAATTTGACAATAAATTTAACACTGACCTTGTAAATTAAAGGCAAGCTCCTACAAAAAATGGTATAAAAGTAGATAAACTGTCTAACTTAACTCTTTAACTTTGTCATTCTTTGTGTCTGACTTTTCCCGACGAATTTTTGCAAATGACTTGAAGGGTCACATTGAAAACATTAGGGCACTCAACTAGATGAGGCAAAAATATTAATACATCAGAAAGCGATGAAGTAACAAAAATAAGTTTTTTCTCCAAACTTAAAAAAAATCCGTTTTTTTATTGTTTTTGAATTAAATATCTGTATCATTGTATCATATTACCCTAATAACACCTCAGAAGTTATGATCACCCCGAGAATAAAGTAGGTAATTTTGTTATAAATTTAGAAATAATGAAAAGCGACAGTTCTGCCTCAGCAGAAAAAGTACTTTTTTGACTGTTCCAAGTTTTCATTTCATAATAAGACACCGCATCAACAACACTAAACTAGTTATTGATATTTATATTAAAAGTAAAATTACTACAACTTTGAAAATTAGTCATGCCTATATTATCAATGGTGTTGTATTGGTATGTAGTATTTTTTTCCTTACACCAGTTCATGGATTGTTCGTATGCTGTTCCATAAATTTGCCTTAATTTAGACGGTAAGAGATTTTTTGTTGCTTCCTTTGCAAATTCCTCCAAATCAGGTGGAGAACCTTTCAGAACTGCCGTTATCTACTCTTGCACTTACACGATTTTAATTTGGAACCCTTTGAAACCAGTGTTTTTCGCAATAAATGAGTGTCACTAACGACTAATGGCCATGGTCGCGGCAGTAAACCGGGACCGAATTTTGTACATTTCGTTTGGAGAAAAAGTAGTA